CACAGGCATAGCTTGGGTAGCACAGAATGGTTCTGGGGGGAATTAAGGTGCACAGAACAAAAGAGAGCTAGAGGCAGAGGAGCACATAAGAGAGACGGCTCCACAGCAAGACCTGCAGCAGATCAACAGGCCACAGGAAGGTCTCAATACCAGACTCAGGCCAGCCATGGTGACCCCCTCAGCCTCTCCATACGGCAGGGAGGGAAGGAGCCAGGTGCTTGGGACAGATGTGGCTCCTGTACTGTGGAAATAGAGAGGTGGCTCAGAGAAGCAGTCTCCAAGTGTCCTTCTTTGGATTTGACCATATAGCACTGGACTTTTCTGATCTCTGTTGGCACTGGTCTGGTTCGTGGGACATGAAGGAGGAGCATTAGCATTAGGAGACTTGGTGCAGGGAATGGGGCCTACTCCCTAAAAAGCACTGCACATGTGGGTCTTAGTTCTCTCTGTATGTGTCCCTGTGTGCCTGCAAATCTGTCTCGCCATCCTTTGCTGCCTCCTCTCCTGTTTTCTTTGGTTGTTTGTATTTGATCCTTCACACAGGGTCTCACTCTGGTGCCTGTGCTGGACTCAAGCTTATGGTGATCCTCCTGCTGTAGCCCTCTGTTCCCTGGGATCTTTTAGGCTTGAGCCATGATATCCAATTCGCTGTTCCTTGTTGTCTCCTCATCTCTCTGTCTTTTTTTTTTAATTAATTTATTTATTTATTATGTATACAATATTCTGTCTGTATGTCAGCAGGCCAGAAGAGGACACCAGACCTCATTACAGATGGTTGTGAGCCACCATGTGGTTGCCGGGAATTGAACTCAGGACCTTTGGAAGAGCAGGCAGTGCTCTTAACCACTGAGCCATCTCTCCAGCCCCTCATCTCTCTGTCTTTGAGTCTTTGGTTTGTCTCGGTCTCTGAAAGCTTGTGTAGAGTCCTGCTCTAGAAGGAAATTTGGCTGACTTTGACCCCACTCAGTAGAAATTTTTGTTTTGTTTTTGTTGAGAGAGGGTTTCTCTGTGTAACAGTTTTGGCTGTCCTGGAACTTGCTTTGTAGACCAGGCTGGCCTTGAACTCACTGAGATCTGCCTGCCTCTGCCTCCTGAGCACTGGGACCACTGCCCATCTACTCAGTAGCATTCTTTAACCTGGGATTCCAGGAGCATCTGTGCATAGAGGCTTTGCTTCTTCCCTCTTTCTTTCCTCTCTAGATGTCTCCTTCTGTGCTCTGGTAAGGTGAAACAGGAATGGGAGGACTAGATCTGGGTTCACATCTGCTCTCCTAGCCAGAAGGCATGCTAGTGCAGGCCAGGATAGATAGATAGATAGATAGATAGATAGATAGATAGATAGATAGATAGATAGACAGACAGACAGACAGACAGACAGACAGATAGATAGATAGCAAGTCTGAGGAGTACTAAGTGGAGTTCATATTGGGCCAGGGCAATTTAGTGCAACCCTGCCTTAAAGAAAAAGACACAAATCAGCCAGTGGTAGAGCACTTGTTGGACACGTGTGGTAGGTTCCGTTTCCAGTCACCTCCCTGTGGGACCTCAAAGAAGCCAATCCCTGTCTTTAGATTATAGAATCATGTTACCCCTTATCTGTTGTTGTACAGCAAGACACATAGTATTGCCATGAAAAGGCCAAGGGCTGCTTTAGTACACACAAGTCTTCCATCCTGGGATCCCGAGACCAGGAGAAGGATGCTATTATATGAAGCCTTTCCCGCTATGAAGAACAAAAAGCTGAGGCTAGGGGTTGACACTTACTGTCTGATTCCCTGGGGCAGTGACTTGGCCCTCATAGGACAGGAGAAGGCAGTGTGTGCACTAGGTTCAGTGGGGCCTCAAATGGCTGGAAGAGGTGGTGTTGATGTTCTCTGCTCACTGAGGATAGTTTAGACACTAGTGGTCCTGAGAGAAGAGGACCTGTAGGAAGAAGACAGAGAGGAATTGAGGGCTCCCCTCTCCTGTTTCACCTAACCAGGAGGAGGAGAGTTCCTGTGAGAGGAGGTTTCTGAAGGGAATTCCTCAGACTCCCACAGGCCAGTGCCCCAAATCCTGTTGACAGCAGGAGCACCTTTAAGGACCCATTCCCTGGAGGTCAGAGGGCAGTGTCTGCAGACCAAATGGAAGGAAAAGAAGGGAAGCCAAGAGCCAGCCTGTTTTGCATCTGTCTCTTTCTTGACCTTTCTGTTCATGTAAGTCCCAGCTTCCACAGCAGCCTTGCCTGCAGTATCAGGAAGGAAGGAAGGATGTGGAATTTGGATGACCAGCTCTTTTGCTTCACATCTTCCATATGGATAAACTGTTTTCCCTGAGCCTTCCAGTTGTGTGGGAAGCAAGTTTTAAAATTCAGAACCATGGCTAGTGTCTCCAGCACCCTCGGTGTCTCTGGCAGCAAATTCCTAAAATGACACTTCCTCGTGTTACCAAATATCAACTTTTTACTTTTGTGAAGGAATTTGTATGTACCATATGCATGCAGTACTCGAAATGGGCAGAAGAGGGCATCATATTCCATGGACTTGGAGTTGTAGACAGTTCTGAGCTACTAGGTATGTGCTGGGAGCTGAACCGTCATTTCTCCAGCCCCATGAACTTCATTTCCTACAGTATAATGAGCTGGCTGTTTTTTCCTTGTAGTATGTGATTTATTAAAAATAGATTTGCTTTGTTGTCTTCTTTGTTTTCCCGAGTCCTGGAGTAGTGGATATTTGAAGAATTTAATTCTGTTCATGAACATATTACATTAGAGGAAAGCTGAGAAAATTCAGTTGAGCCATGTGTACCCTAGGGACAGAAACGTTATCTGATGACATTGTGTTAAGCTAGCTCCTAGCAGACTTTATAGTGATGTGTGCCTTTGTCCCAATATCTGTATTTCCTGGTCTGAATACCAGCTCTTGGGTTCTCTTCTAAGGGACAATCTCATGTGTACTGTGGATCTGGGACTAGGTGGATGCTCTGTGTGTTGGAGGAATGTCCTGCCTTACCCTCATCTAAGAGACATTTAACTATTAGCATTCTTGGCAGTGAACGTGGATGTGAAACCAGTTCCTAAACATTTAGCTGTTTGTTGCGTACATGCCAGCCCTGGTGATAGTTGGATCATATGGACAATCTGTTTCCATTTTTTGCAAAGCTTGAATACTACTTTGTAAATCGACTGTACTAATTTTACACATCAACAGAAGAACACTGAGTTCCCTTTTTGCCGTGTCCATTGTAATCTGACCCTTGTAATCTGTCATTGCATTGATATGGTCATTCTCACAGCTTTCCTGAGGTTGCAAGAAGTATGCTGTCTGCTATGTATAATCCCTGGGGCAAATTGGTTACCATTCAGGCTATCTGATAACTTCTTAAAGAGCAGACGACTTCTGGGACTAGACTACAATCTGTCTTGTCATTCTTCTCTGCAGTATTTCTGGGTTTTAGACAGGTTTTTTTTTTCTGGGCCCAAATAGATTTGCATGTATCAGATCGCTTTGTTCCCAGAACTTGGTTGGAAGTTTAGTATATATTCCCACAAACAGACCCAATTTAAAGTTGAGGCATTCAGTGAGTGCCAGCCTCCTCCTGTGAACAACTGGTGATCCTGAAGATGTGTGTGAGTAGAGGAGGAGCTCAGGAGTCTAAACTCCCATCAAGGCTATCAGAGGGTATTTATTTTTACATGTATGGTTATTATCTTCCCACCTACCCTTTGGATGACCTAAGGAGCATAGAATCATTTTCCTCTTGTATAGTGTGATGCAAGTTGATTTCTTGCTCATGTGTGTCTCACAATTTGAACTCATTGATGTGATTGTTGTCTCAGTTTCCCAATATATAGAGGGCAACTCATTTATGCTTTTGTGAGAGAAAGGGTACAGATAAATGTTTTCCACTTAGGATCCCTTTTTGCCTGAGAAACTTTGTATGAACTCAGATATATAGGTTCATATAAAATAGGAATACAAACCAAATATTTGTGTTTAATAAGTCTTACATATTTAAAAAATAATTTCTTATGATTTTGTTGGTTATAAAAGATGAAATGAACTTTGCCTATAAATGAACACAATACAAGTCAAATATATGCTAATTTCATGCTTAAAGAGTGAGAAATGAAGTTGAGAAAATACTTAAAATCTCTAATTTCCATGATCAAATCGTTTCAATAAGAGTAGACAGCTGTATGGAGAGTAAAATTTGCAGTGTAAGATATCATCTCAGGCAGTGTTCCTTGAAATTGTGTAGTGTGATGACATGAACAGTGCCTAGTGCACATGCTGTGTGTTCACAACGAAGGCTACAGTGCTGTTACTTGATGCCACGTGGCCGAGTGCTGTCCTGGATTCACAACGTCTTTCCAAGTTAAATTTTGGTCATGGAGTATTTATACATCCTCTCTGTTGCAAAAATAATTTTATGACCCTAGATTCATGTATGGGGTTATCATCTTGCTTTGAAGAATAAGATCTATTCTACTATAGGAAGGGGGACTTGAGTTCATGCCCCTATATCTTCTGCACTCTAGCACAGTGCTGCCCTGCCAGCCCCAGCATCTGCCTTTTCACTGTGCTCTGCATGCCTTACAGGTTTAATTTTGTTTTTATATGATTGAGCTTATAGAATCCATTCACTTCCTTTTAGTGAAAACCTCACAAACACATGCTCCGATACAATTTTGTTTCTATTATAATTCCGTGGAGAGCTCTTTAATTATAATTTCTTCAGTTAACTATTTAACACAGAGGTAAGATACTTGTGTTGATCTTAATGTGTCCCACGATACAGAATACAGGTCAAGCCCCAGCTTCTATGTGACACTGGCAAGACACGGTCACCTAGAGAAAAGGATTTTTTTCCAGTTCTGAGGCCTTGGGTTGACGAGAGGTATGTCATTACAGGGCTTGGTGTCATTTGAGGATGTGGCTGTGGACTTCACCTGGCAGGAGTGGCAGGAGCTGGATGCTGCTCAGAGGACCCTCTACAGGGATGTGATGCTGGAGAACTACAGTAGCCTGGTCTCCTTGGGTGAGTCTGACTAAGTTGATAGACGTTTTAGCATATATGCATATATTACATTCTTCCTGATAGCTATTTTTAAAGATTTAATTGTCAAACATATTTATTAACACACTATGGAACATAAGTTCTGTGTCCTTTGCCCAGCTACCAAGAACAAATGCTAACCATTCCCCGTCTACCCCACTCCCATGTCCCGTGTCTTCTTTGCTCTACTCTTATAACTGCCATTTTCTTTACTTCTTTGAGGTTACCTTAGCTTGCAAGTATAATGAAGACATGTGAGATTTCGCTTTTTATGACAGACATGGTTCATTGAACTTGTGTCTTTCCTGTGTAGACAAAAGGAATTATCTGTTTACCTCAATTGTGGAGGAAGTCAATCGTTCAATAAAACTTCCATCTATTCCAGTATGATCAATCAGAAAGTGTATTTGTTCTGGTCAGACAGCCAAAATGACTCTCAGACAGTGGTAACCCTGACAACTCCACATCTTACTCAGTGTTGCCTTCTGTTGTAGTTGGACAAAAGGGGTCTGGATTGGAATCTCTCTTGAGGGGTTCGAGGCATCTTCTGAGGGAACAATGGCGCCATCATTATTGCGGTGCTCTATCTATTTTAATGCTTTATATGTATACCAAGTCCTTTTGTGGACCACCAGTTATTTAGTTTTAAGATCGTGGAGATTATCACGGGCTCAGAAATAGCGATTTACATCTTCACAAGTGCTCTCCAGTTCTGTTCCTGGACAAGTGTCTCTGTTTGTAGGGTGATGCCCAAAAAAAGATGTTAAGATGTCAGCCTGCTCCCCCTTCCTTTGCTTTCTGGCTGTGGTAAAGTGAGGTACCTTGCTCAGCCACTGTGGCCTTTTCTGTGCAGGTGATTTTGAGTTTGATGTAATATGTTTTACTGACTTTGCTTTGGTGGCTGTGCATCTGGCAGACATCAAAATACTCTTTGTCTGCCTCACTGTCCTGAGGTGTTTATTGTATATGCTAGAGACATCATTATGTCTGGTCTTAGATTTAAACCTTTGATTTACTTTTGGAGTTTTCTTTTTCCTCACTATGCATTTATAATGCAGTTTTTCAGGTTGGCTTTGAACTCACTTGATTTTGACCTTCTGATTGTCTTGGCTGTATCTCCTGAATGCTGGGATTTCAGGTGTGTGGTAGCACACTCAGAACCTGATCTGTTTTAGTTGATGTCTATGTAAAGTTTAGAGAGCAGGGTCTCTTGCCTTTTATCAGCAAGAATAGTCCATACTTCTCTGCAAGAGTTACAGATGAGAACTTCCCTCCTGGTTGAAAGGTCTTGAACCTTTGTTGAAAATCAGCTGACTGAATGTATTAGTCAGCTTTTCATTACTCCAACACAGTACTTGAGTGAAATCATGAAAGGAAGATTGATGTTGGCTCATAGTTTTCCCAGGTTTTTCCGTGGTTTTACTTGGCCATGTCACTTTGGCCCTGTCGTGAGGTGGAGTCACACGAAGGGAGCACAGAACTGAGGTGTGCTGCTTACTTCACTGACACTGGAGAGCAAAGAAAGGGTTCTGACATGTCAGCATCCTTCCTCATGGCCGCATTTCCTTCTGCTAGACTGTACCTGCTAACTTTATCAATGCTGTATTCTTTGGAATATGCTTCAAATCCGCATTATAACCCTGAATATATATGGTTTTGTTTGGGGCTGTGTTCTCTTCCAGTCGTGTCTGGGTTTCTTTTTGTGCCAGTTCTCTGCTGTGTCTTTGTAGTGGTTTTGAAGATAGGTCCACGTTGGTGCCTTTTCAACAAGGTGCTTTGCTAGCTTCAGGTCTCTTGCACTTTTCCATGATGTACATTGTTTAGGAAGTGCTTTTCTGTTTCTGGAGACATGCATTGATTTTACTATGAAGATATTGTTAAATCTGTAAATCACTTTAAGTATGGGTTTTGCGTTTTTTAATATTTTTATCTTATTTCTTCCATTTATTAACATAAAATGTGGTGACCTATTTTTTGTGTTTTTTTATTTCATAATATTAGTTTATTTTTACTCTGATAATCTCATACATGATGCAGTGTATTATTCAGTTTTACCATCTTTTATCTTCTTATGCCTTCCCCATTCCTCTGAGCACACTCCTCTACAGTCTCCCTCCTTTTGTTGTGTGTGTGTGTGTATGTGTGTGTGTGTGTGTGTGTTTTATGACCACTGAATTTGATTAGGATTCTTTGCGTGAATATGGGGTTGTGGATTAATTCCTGGATGGAGCACGGGCAGTTTGTTTTCTTGGTTTTCTGAACCAGTGTTTCACTGTGACTCCTGGGCGCCTTTGAACTTACTTTGTAGTTAAAGTGTTTTTGAACTTACAACAGTCCTCCTATTTCAGCTATTGTATCCTGGGATTTTTCCATCTGGTGAGGAGGAGGGGGTGGCCTCTTTTAACTTCTCAGTGTTTGGGAATTTTCAGACTGGTATTAGGCTTGTTGGTTAGTAAGTTTTACAGTAGAGCTGGGGACATAGCTCAGTGATAGTTGGCCTGCAGCTGTTTTGAATAGGAATGTAAAATTGGACTTCTCAGCAATTAATGCTTTTGGTTTTTGATTGCATACATGGTGTTTTAGTTTTTGACTGTGTGTTCTCTAAGAAGTTTTTCATCTAGTTTCTAGGTTTTCTTTTCTTTTTCTTTTGAGTCCTTTCAGTTTTTTCTCTGTGTAGCTTCATTTACCATTGATAGCATTGCCTCAAACGGCGCTGTCATAGCCCATCAGTGAAATGAACTTTCTGCTTGAGCACAATTTTTATATCACTTTCTATTTACAGGGCACTGCTTGACTAAACCTGAGTTGATCTTCAGGTTGGAGCATGGATTTGGACCATGGAGCATAGGAGAGACCTCACTCTGGAATCTCCCAGGTCAGTGAATGTGAACTGAGGAAGGGAATTCAGCAAGGACAACTGACTGCTTATAGGATATGTTGAGCTGTCTTTACCAGCATTCCACAGCTAGTTTTTTCTGTCAGGCGTTTATTTTATGCAGATTTCAAATGGGGAATTCTGTGTCATTCCGTCTCATTTTTATTATTGAAGTCTGTTTTCCTAAATTTGCTTTAAAAAAATCAATCTTTGTATAGATTTTCACAGACATTTTTGTTGTTGCTTTGAGATGGGGTCTCATAGCTCAAACTGCCCTCCAATTTGATGTTGCTGGGCTAAAAGTCTTCATCCTTTTCCCTCCGTTTCCCACTACCCACATGTATGATCACCCCCAGCATTATCTGTACATTTGTCAGTTAGATACTCTGTCTACATACTTCATCTGAATTCTCACTTGTCATTCTTACCTTAATATTGAAGATTTATGTATTTCAGTGCTTAGTCTTGATCAGAAATTTTATTAACATTCAAATGCATCTCTTTAAGGGTTTAAGTTTAGTGAGAGAAAAATGAAGCAGTGCTATGATAATGTACCACAGTGAGGTAAGAGACACCAAGAATATTAACCTGAGGAGGGGGAAAAAACACATGAAGTTTTATTTTAGGAAAAGTATAAAGTAAGGTACTGTTGAAGAATTATTCATTTATTTTAGTTTAGTGTTATGATTACTCTTAAGAATTATTTGAACTACCAGTACTCGGGAGGTATAAGCAAGCAGGCAGATCTCTGAGTTCGAGGCCAGCCTTGTCTATAGAGCAAGTTCCAGGTCAGCCAGGGCTACACAGGTAAATCTTGTCTTAAAAAACAAAAAGAAAGAAAAAACTTGTGTGTGTGTGTGTGTGTGTGTGTGGTGTGTGCGTGTGCGTGTGCGTGTGTGTGTGTGTGTGTATGGATGTAAATTGAGGACAGGGATTAGCATGGAGAAAGAAATTTGAAAATGTGGTGGCCTAAGGAAAATCAACTGCAGAATATAGTTTTAAATTAGGAAAGAACACATTGGAAGTTTAAGGGTAGGATGGCAGATAAAACGTTTTTCCATGCTGATACACAAATGCCCAATGCCAGTCAGAAAGGAGAGAATTTTTTCCAAAGAGAGCATGAGAGAAAGAGTATTTGGGATCAAAAAAGGACAGTATTCATTAGAACAGAAAAGCTATTTTCTCTCTTTTTGAGAAAAGTGTGGCACAGACTGCACTTTTAATCTCAATCCCAAGTGGTAATGATCCTAATCGTACAACTAGTTATGAATGACCATAATAATGAGCAGAGTGCCCTGCTGCCACAGACCGGCATCTTTTGTCATGGGAGAAGCCTGATACTGGCAAGTGTTAATATAGAGAAATAACTTCTCTGACAGTTGTAGAAGTTGGCATAAGTTGGAAAACAAATTGCATTCATCTGCATATAGGATGCCATACCAGGGGCCATAACTAAGACCAAAAAAAATCTCAGGAGGCTGGGGACATACTGACAGTTTCTATGTAGTAGGTGAGCACAAGACGTAGTCATGGAAACTCACGTGGTAAAACGTAGGTTCCTCAAGAAAGGAGCGTGAAATGCTAGGAATGGGGTCTTACATTTCTAGTGAGGAGTATGCCCTTTCCTCATAGACACTGGCAGGGAATAATAGTGGGCCCAGTCAGCCACTGTACTTTTCCATGTTTACTGTACCTTGGGATTTGTACTTAAAATTTTTGTACTAAAATTTTTGAGCCCAGGTCATTAGCCTTTCATAGTGATCTTCTTACCAGAATATGCTGTTTATTGAGCTTCAGAGGGCCTGACCAGCCCAGAATCGCCTTACTCTTTGCTGTGTAGGCTAATTCTGCAGATACTTCATGTATAGAGGTTTGCTTTCCATCAGTGAATATAGAATACTGACGTTTCTATATTCATCTGTATGGAGTTGTATGGTGTCTGGCAGATACTCTGAAAAGCTTGAGCACAGCAGTGACTCCTGTATTGAGGTACATAGTTTTCATCATTGGATTCAGGCTTGTCACCAACAATATAACCTTTGTTGACTCAGTCCTTAACTAGTGTATAATGCTAACAGGAAAGTGAGAACAGAAAAATTAATGTTACTCCTCAGCTATTACTCAGCAACCCCAGCAGCCTGCTGATGGATTCCAGTAAGAGTGGACGTGGATGAAATTCTTCTCCAGTACATTTCCTTTTTTTTTCTTTCTTTCTATTTCTCAGACATTTTTAGTATTTTTATTTTTTTTTTCTTTTTTTTAAAGTTTATTTATTAAATATTTCTGTCTCTTCCCCACCTCCGCCTCCCCTTTCCCTCCCCCTCCCCCAATCATGTCCCCCTCCCCCCCCCCCATCCCGTGGGAAGTCCAAGGAAAACCCTCCTCTGTCCAGGTCTCGTAAGGTGAGCATCCAAACCGCCTAGGCTCCCACAAAGCCAATACATGCAATAGGATCAAAAACCCATTGCCATTGTTCTTGATGTCTCAGTAGTCCTCATTGTCCTCTATGTTCAGTGAGACCGGTTTTAACCCAGGCTTATTCAGACCCAGGTCAGCTGGCTTGACTTTAATCCACAAACCTATGAGCACCTGATTTTCGATAAAGGAGCTAAAAGTATACAGTGGAAAAAAGAGAGCATCTTCAACAAATTGTGCTGGCAAAACTGGATTTCAATCTGTAGAAAAATGAAAATAGATCCATGTCTGTCACCATGCACAAAACTCAAGTCCAAGTGGATTAAAGACCTCAATATCAGTCTGAACACACTGAACCTGATAGTATTTTTATTTTTATTCTTTTGTCCCAATTAGGGTTACTTTTAGTATGATGAACTGCCATGACCAAAAGCAAGTTGGGAAGCAAAGGGTTGGCTTACACTTCCACATTGTAGTCCATCACTGAAGGAAGTGCAGGAGCTCAGGTAGGGTTGGAACCTGGAGGCAGGAGCTGATGCAGAGGACATGGAGGGGCGCTGCTAACTGACTTGCTCCTTATGGCTTGCTCAGTCTACTTTCTTATAGAACCCAGGACCATCAGCCCAGGGATGACACTATCCCACAGTGGGCTGGGTCCTCCCCCATCAATCATTTTTTAAGAAAATGCCCTATAGCCAGATATTAGGGAGGCATTTTCTCAGTTGAGGTTCCTTCCTTTCAGAATACTCTAGATTTTGTCAAGTTGACATGAAACTAGCTAGCACATTTTGACTTTATCCTTTTTAAGTCTTTGATGTTTGTATTTTTACTGTTCCTTATTCCTTTTTATTGTTTTATTTACCCTTTTTCTATATTTGAATATCTGGTTTGTTCTCTGGCTTTTTAACCTTTTCTGTATTCCTTTCTTTCTGCATAGTTGTTTTAGCTTTTTTTTTCATTTATCTTGCTCAGATTATTGTCTTACTCTTTAAATTTCATTGTCACAAATTGTTCTGCCTGTTTAAATTTTTTCTTATAGTTACTGATAGTGTTGCATTTGTTTAAATTTTTTAAATAAATAAATTTATTTTATAAAATGATCTTTTTTCATTTTACATACCTATCCCACTCCCACTTTCTCTGCTCCTCCAACTCTTCCCACCTTCCCTCTCTACCACTCCTCAGGGAGAGTAAGGCTTCCCGTGAGGAGTCAACAAGTCTGACACATCACTTTGAGGTAGGACCAAGGCCCTCCCCTCTATATTTAGTCTGAGCAAGGTATCCGACCAAAAGGAATGGACTCTAAAAAGCCAGTTCAAGCACTAGCCTGGTCCCACTGCCAGTGGTCACAAAGACTGTCCCAACCAGACATCTATTACCCACATTCAGGGGGCCTAGTTTGATCCTGTTCAGGTTCCCTTCCTGTCTTTCTAGAGTCAGTGAGTTCCCACTAGCTCAGGTGAACTGTTTCTGTGGGTATGTCATCATGCTCATATTATTGCTCCTGCCTTTCTTCAACTGTTCTCCAGAAGTTCAAGCCAGTGCTTCACTGTAGATCTTTGTATCTACTTCCATCAGTTGCTGGATGAAAGTTCTATGATGACAATCAAGGTGGTCATCAATCTGACTACAGGGCAAGTCCAGTTCAGGTACCTTCTCTGCTAATACTTAGGGTCTTAGCTGGGGTCATCCTTGTCCTGGGAATTTCCCTGGTGCCAGGTTTCATCCTAGCCCCATAATGGCTCCCATAATCAAGATATATCTTTTCTTTCTCTCCCTCTCTGTTCTTCCCCCATCTCAAATCTCCCATTCTCTCATTTCCCCCTCCCTTTTCTGCCTTCCATTACCCCCACCCACATGCTCCCAACTTTCACAGGAGATCCTATCTATTTCCCCTTCCCCATGAGATTCATGTATGTTTGTCTCAGGGTTCTCCTTGTTCCTCTGATGGAGGTGGATCATCTGTCTATCTGTTGCTTTCATTAGTTAATTAGTAAAGAAACTGCTTGGCCCTCTGGTAGGGTAGAATTTAGATAGGCGGAGTAAACAGAACAGAATGCTGGGAGAAAGAAGCCGAGTCAGGAGTCGCCATGATTCTCCTACTCCAGACAGATGCTGGTTAAGATCTTCCCTGGTAAGCCACCTCGTGGGCTACACAGATTAGTAGAGATGGGTTAGATCAATATGTAAGAGCTAGCCAATAAGAGGCTGGAACTAATGGGCCAGGCAGTGTTTAAATGAATACAGTTTCCATGTAATTATTTCGGATAAAGCTAGCCATGCAGGCGGCCGGGTGCCAGGGACGCAGCCCCACCGCTCCTAACACAACATTCCTCTACTTCTCTGGGGTCACAGACTATAGGCTCATTATTCTTTGCTTTACATCTAATACATCTAATCTACTTATGAATGAGTACATACCATGTTTGTCTTTATGAGTCTGGGTCACCTCACTCAGGATTGTTTTTTCTAGTTCTGTCCATCTGCATGCAAATTGCAAGATGTCATTGTTTTTTACCATGGAGTTTCTGTAAATGTACCAAATGTACATTTCTTTGGGTGAGGGGCATCTAGATTGTTTCTAGGTTCTGGCTATTACGAATAATACTGCTATGAACATAGTTGAACAGATGTCCTTGTGGAATGGATCTTCATCCTTTGGGTATATGTCAAGAGTAGTATTGTTGGGTTTTGAGATAGATTGATACCCAGTTTTCTGAGAAACCACCATATTGATTTCCACCATGACTGTACAAGTTTGCACTCCCAGCAGCAGTGGAGTGTTCTTCTTTCTCTGCAGTCTCTCCAGCATAGTATCATTGGTGGTTTTGATAATAACCATTCTGACTGGTGTAAAATGGTATCTCAGAGTTGCTTTGATTTGCATTTCCGTGGTTTCTAAGGATGTTGAGCAGTTACTTAACTGTCTTTTGGCCATTTGAAATTCTTCTGTAGAGAATTCTCTGTCTAGATCTGAACCCAATTTTTAGTTGGATTATTTGTCATTTTAATGTCTAGTTTCTTGAGTTCTTTATATATTTTGGGGAGCAGTCCTTTGTCAAATGTGGGGTTGGTGAAGAACTTTTCCCATTCATTAGGCTGCCCTTTTGTCTTATTGATTGTGTCCTTTGCCTTACAGAAGCGTCTCAGTTTCAGGAGGTCTCATTTATTAATTGTTGCTCTCAATGTCTGTGTTACTGGTGTTATATTTAGGAAGTGGTCTCCTGTGCCCATGTGTTCAGTACTACTTCCCACTTTCTATGAGGCTCAGTGTGGTTGGCTTTATGTTAAGGTCTTTTATCCATCTGGACTTGAGTTTTGTTCATGGGGATAGATATGGATCTCTTTACATTCTTCTACATGTTAACATCCAGTTATACCCACACCATTTGTTGAATGAAGATGCTTTCTTCTTTTGTTGTATAATTTTAGCTTCTTTGTCAGAAATCAGGTGTGTTCATATGTGTATGTATTAATATCCGGATCTTCAATTCTATTCCATTGGTCCACCTGTCTGTTTATTTATTTTTGTTTTGATTTTGTTTTTTGAGACACGTTTTCTGTGCAACCTGTCCTAGGACTAATTCTTGTAGACCATACTTGCCTTGAATTCACAAAGATCCCCTGCTTCTGCCTCTTGAGTGCTGGGATTAAAGGCATGTACCTCTACTGTCCAGCTAACCTGTTTTTATGCCATTACCAAGCTAATTTCATTACTATAGCTCTATGGAAATTCTTTTCTTGTGCCTGATTGTTTTTACTATCCCGAGTTTTTTGTTTTTATTTAGTTAGTTATTTTTCCCAGACGAACTTGAGTATTTTTCTTTCAAGGTCTGAGAAGAATTGTGTTGTGATTTAATGGGGATTGCATTGAATCTGTAGATTGTTTTTGGTGAGATTGCCATTTTTATTATGTTGATCCTAGAACATGTGAGATCTTTTCATTTTCTGGTATCTTCTTCAATTTCTTTCTTCAAAGATTTAAAGTTCTTGTTGATCAGGTCTTTCAATTATTTGGTTATTGTTAACCCAAGATATTTTGTTATTTGTGGGAATTATAAAGGGTGATGTTTCTCTGATTTCTTTCTCAGCCTATTTTTCATCTATATAAAGGAGGGCCACTGATTTTTGTTTGTTTTTTAGTTGACCTTGTATCCTGCCTCATTATTGAAGGTGTTTATCAGCTGCAGGAATTACCTGGTAGAATTTTGGGGGCCAATAATATATAGTATCATATCATCTGCGAATAATGAAAGTGTGGCTTCTTCCTTTCCAGTTTATATCCCCTTGATCTCCTTTTGCTGTCTTTTTGCTCTAGCTAGAACTTCAAGTACTAGATTGAGTAGACATCCTTTTTTTGTTCCTGATTTAGTGAAACCGCTTTGAGTTTTTCTCCATTTAATCTAATGTTGGCTGTCTGCTTACTATATATTGCTTTTATTATGTTTAGGCACATTCCTTGTATTCCTGATCTCTCCAAGATCTTTATCATGAAGAGGTGTTGGATATTGTCAGACATTTTTTCATTATCTAATGATAGGATCTTATGGGTTTTTTTTTTCTTTCATTTTTTTTTTTTTATATTATAGATTACATTGGCAGATTTTCGTACATTGAACCATCCCTGCATCTCTGGGATGAAGCAGACTTGATCATGATGGATGATTTATTTGATATGTTCTTCAGTTTTGTTTGTCAGTATTTTATTATTTTTGCATCAATGTTCATGAGGGAGATTGGTCTGTAATTCTCTGTCTTAGATGAATCTTTGTGTGGTTTGGGTAGCAGGGTAACTTTTAGGGGAGGCTGCTTGTTTGATCCTGGCTGCCAAGACTCGGAATAACCACTCAGAAACTATATTATTTAAATCACTGCTTGGCCAATCACTTAACCCTATTGCTAACTAGCTCTTATATCTTTGGTTAACCAATTTCTTTTAATCTGTATATCACCACATGGCTATGGCTTACCCGCAAGGTTCTGGCTCTGTCTGTTCCTGCCAGCGGCTACGTGGCTTCTCTCTGACTCTGCCTTCTTTCTCCCAGCATTCAGTTCAGTTTTCCCTGCCTACCTCTATTCTACCCTGCCAGGCCCAAGATAATTTCTTTATTAAGCATACAGAGGAGAATCCCACATCACCTCCCCTTTTCTGTTTAAATAAAATGGTTGCTTCATCTGTTTGTTTTATTTTTTCTTGGTTTTCTTGCCTATAAGAAATTTATTGATTTCTTCCGATTTTCTTCCTTGTCTTTTCCTCCATTTCTCTAAGAGAATTTTTTATTTCCTCTTCAAGGATCTCTATCATCCTCAGAAAATTATATTTAATTACGTTTTCTTCTACTTTTTCTGGGTTTGAATGTTCAGGTCTTCTTTTGTAGGACCACCAAGTCCAGGTGTTGCTGTATTCCTGTTCGGTTGTTGAATGTATTCTTGCATTGGGGCTTACTCATCTCTTCCTCCAAGGGGCGCATGTGGGGCCTGTGCTTCAGGGTATCTCTCCTCCTCCAGTTGGTGACCTGTGGCTTAGATGGTCACTCTTCCTCCTGGTGTAGGTGGAGCTGTGCCTTTGCTATCTGCTGATGCGGCTCTGGGGGCTCCTCTCCAGGTACAGTCAGGACCAAGACTCAGGGTGGTAATAGGTGCAGTGAGGGATGGTTGCAGGTATATGGAGACTGCTTGTGGTCTCTGGGGTTTGCTCTTTGGGGTGGGGCACAGGATGTTCTCTGTTGACTAGGGTCAAGAGAACAGGAGAGTCCAACTGGGAACCCAGACACTATCTCTCCAGGGGCAGCCAGGACCAAGTCTCCAGTTGTCAGAGATGCAATGGGGTATAGCTGCAGGTTTGGAGAGACTGCTCCCAGGTCCCTGGGACTTCCCTAGGTGGGGGGTGGGGCACACATGTGCCTTTGTGAGCTAAGGTCTAGTTCTCTGGACCCTCCAGCCAGGAACCCAGACACTCACCTCTCCAGCGGCAGCCAGAGCCAAGACTCCGGTGGTTAGAGATGTGGTATGGGATACCTGCCTTTTAAAGTTTTTTTGCATTATTTCTATGTCTGATTTGTTTTGGTGTTGCTCTTTCAGCATTTTGATTTCTCTCTGAATGATGTTGGGAGTTGAAGCCAAAGGTGAAAAAGGCTGCTAGGACCCTTTTTAGAAGATGAGGGGTGCTTTCCATCCCCATTCTTCCAAAGTGGTTGTCAGTGGCACACAAACCTAATATGCATGACAGCAACCAGGTAAATGGTGATAATTATTGGAAAAACTAGGACATCTCCAATAACTGATTCTGAGGATTTTGTAAATAGTAGAATGTCAGCTATAAAATGCAAAAGCATGGTTTTAGTAATGATCTGTGCAGTAAAGTAGTGTTCAGATAAATAGGTGAATGGCGTCTATTTATGCTTCTGTGACAAATTCAGTGAACAGAGATCGTGACAGAAAATATACATTTAAATAATTGAAGGAAGAAGTTCAATAAACAGGTCACTCAATGGAAAGCAACATCTGTTGGAGTAGACTTTGTAGAAGGAAGAATATCAGGAATGAAGGTAAGGTCGAGAAATTATTGTAGTGGAAGAACTCTATAATAGAGGAAAAGGAAGCTCAGTCATGACTATAAAGGAGATGCAATCTATGACTGTGGTACAGAACAGAGAAATGAGACGTAGACTAAAGACACAGAAAATGTAATCCATAAAATAGAGTTGAAAATTGCACAAATATCTAGAAAGAACAAAAAAGCAAAACTAGAAAACATGTATACATCCAGGAAAGGAGCCATTCAGAATCACTGACCAATATAAATTAGAAAGACTTGGTCAAACTTGGTTTTAGTTAAATGCAGATGATAGAAAAGAGAAAGACATCTTACAGTGTAAGAAGCAACAGCTTTGTTACTATAATAGCAAGCCCATTTAGCCTTCTAAATCTTCTTAGCTGAAACCTTGATACCAGAAACCCAGTGAGTTCATGTGTATAGTGACCCCATTGTGTCTGGAATATGCTGTTTGTCAACAGTCATCTACTACTCCTGGCCTTAAAATCTTTCTTCCCCTTCTTTTGTGGTGTTCCTTGTCCCTTGGGATTTAGGTGTTTGATACAGATGTCTCTTTAGGATTGGCCACTCTGGCAAATGATGGTTGAAAACTGTACTGATCTATGAATATAAAGATAAGTACTTAGTGGACTGTTTAATACTGTAACTATTTAGTAGAAAAAATGGAAGTAGTTTGTGCCTGACAACCTATGACCTACCCAGTCACAGGTTCTTGTCTCAGTACCAGTATCAGGCATGAGTTTTGTCTTGTGGAGTGGGCCTTAACTACAATTCAAGTGCTTGTTTCCTCCCACAAATTTCATGCCACTTTTGCAAAAGTAGGTATATCTTGTCAGGCCAGTCATTATTGTAGTCTTCAAGGTTCGTAGCTGGTTAAGACCATTGATTACTTTTTTCTTTCAACACTATGATAGCACTTCCCAGGACTATGAAAGATAGGAAGTAAGGATGAAGCTTCCAGATCAATATCAGCTTGATTTTTCCATGTCCTATAGTTAAAGTATGTAGTGTCTTCAGAAATTGGATCTTAACATCAAGTTCTGAAGGGTAACTCAGAGCAGTAGCAATATCTTGTAATGTTGGGGCAAGAGAAGTCTTTGGAACCACACTGACAACACCTTGAAAATACATAATCCCCAGGCATTGAACATTTTGTTTAATAGCCTGTGACATCTGAGGCATTTTTCCCCATATAGGGTAACTAACTCCATTTTGTCTGTCTGTCTGTTTTCAGAAGCATCTAAAGTAGGTTTCCATACGACTTTAAAAGGTCTTTAGTGTTATCTTTCACTATATACCTGTTCCTGTCCCCGTCCTTTCACCACCAACCCACTGAACCCTACCTGTAGCTTTATTTCTTTTTACTCCTTTATAACACATGTGTTATCTCCTCCATTCCTATACTCCCCTCTTCCATGGCCATTCTTAGTTCTCCTAACTTCTACAGGTCCTCCAATTTAAGCACACACATCTAAAGATTCAAAGCTAGGATCCGCATATGAGAGAGAGCATGAGTCATCTTTCTGGATCAGAGCTACCTCCCTCAGAATGATTTATTTCCAGCTCCATTTATTTACCTACAAAGCTCATAATTTCTTTTATGAGTGAATAAAAACTTCCATTGTGTATGCATACCACATTTTCATTATCCATTCATCATATGATGGACATCTAGACTGGTATTTTAATTTTTTAGTGTAAACAGTAATATATGTGCTTGTTAACTACCACCCAGTGCAATAAGAAACTTCTCTGATCAAGTTTTAGAGTAGCACAGATGTATAGGTAGAAACATAAATGTTTAGGATGCAGTTTGATAATATGGCCATTAGAGGACAAAATAGGTTCTCCCTTAAGGACTATGACTTCCCTAGCCACAAGTTTGGATAAATTATGCCCATAATCCTGTACAGTTGATATACAGTATAAGTCACCTAAAAATATGTAATTGATATTCTCCTATATATACAGGCACAAACTAATCTGGATTTGCAGCATAACTATTTCTTAGTATTTATTTTTAATAAAATGGTTTATTTTCAAAATGTATATATGTCTAAGAAACAAAAGAGATTTGTAGAACAGAAGATGGATTACAAGGAGTTTTTGAAGAATCTGACCTCTAGTGTGAGAGAATGATGGTTTTATACATTGACCAATGAAATGTTGCTGCAGATTTTCAGGGCAAATTAAACAAATTTCTATTACATACATAATAACCCTTTTAAGAACCTACGTTAAACCTATGTCAAGTAGGTAGATAGTGAAAGAAAATCTTCCCCCCTCACATGGGAGAGATGTGATGTCAGATGTCTACGATTGAAGTGATGGAGAAAAGGAGCTCAGGGTTACCCCAGCAGTTAAAAATGAGTGTGCCAGAAATAGCAGAGAAGGAGGTGGAGGACCTCTTTCCACGTGTTTCACAAGAGTAAAAGCAGCAAAGGAACATGACTTAGCACCACCTTATCTGTTCATGTAATCTTCCCTTATACTTAGAAGTATCTACTGCACGATTTTATTTGAGCAGAGTAAACTATATTTGATTAATCAATAGTGATTTTTTTAATATATTGTTTCAGGTGTTCTTGAAGTGTATGCTTCAGATAAGAGTTGCCTGGAAAATCAGGGGAGTCATGTGTGGCCAGTGGGAAGCATCAGCAGGAATCTGTCAAACAGAGAGATGATTGAAGTAGGTAAAACATGGATGTAAGCAGAACTTTCACATTTTGAAACTGGGCATAGGACTAGAATTTTTTTTTCCTAGGAACCTAACCAGTGGTAGAGTGTCCATAGTGAGGCTAATCTGATGCTGACAGTGCAGAAGCTGATAATATGACTGATAAGCCCCTCTGGCACCCTGAGTACCTTAGTCTCCCTAACAAGTTTGAAAGGTCACATTATGATGTTCAATATATTTGACCAGGGATATACATCTATACAAAGACTGTTATGAAAGATGTTTGATATTTAAGAACCTCTCATTTCATGCATTGGAATTCTTTTGTTTGCTTAACACTTACTCTGCAAAACATACCTCATGAAAGAAAAGTATTGCATTTAAGAGGACTCAGAACAGAACATGGTAAAGTGTAGGACTGAGAGATAGCTGAGCAGTTAAGAATATGAGCTGCTCTCACACAGGACCTGAGCTATCCCAGAACACATGTCATGTTGCTCCTAACTGCCTATAACTGTAGCTCCAGGGGAATATGATACCTCTGGCTTCCATGGGTACCTACTCCTGAATGCATATACCCCTACACATATATGCATAATTAAAAATAATAGAAAAAATAAATCTTTTTATGGCAAACTGTATACTGGGGGAAATATTGGAAATGCCCTTTTTTAAAACTTAAAAGAATTTATTATCTTTATAGAACATTAAGTACATGCTAGAAAATAGCCCTACTGATATAAAATCTTGACATATTCTTTTGTCTCAAGGCAGAAATGAAGGTTCAATTGGAACTCCATCGAGGTATAAAGCCCTATGAATGTAGACCATGTATGAAATGGATTAACCTGCCATCGCAGCACAAACAGCAGCGTGAATATTCCTCAAGTGTGAAACCCTGCGGATGGAAGGAATGTCAGAAAGCTTTCTGTTGTAAGTCAACGCTCACGGGACATCAGAGAACTCGTACAAGATTGAAGATCTATCAGTGTACAGAATGCAGGAAAGCTTTTCCCTCCAAATCAGAACTCACCGTACATCATAGAATTCATACCGGTGAGAAACCTCATGAATGTGAAGAATGTGGTAAAGCTTTCTATCGTAAGTCAACCCTTACTGTGCATCAGAAAACTCATAGAGGTGAGAAACCTTATGAATGCAAGGAGTGTTGGAAAGCTTTCTATTATAAGTCAACCCTCACTGAACATCAGCGAATTCATACAGGTGAGAAGCCTTACGTCTGTAAAGACTGTGGCAAAGCTTTCTTCTACAAGTCAAACTTAACTCGCCATCATAGAACCCATACAGGTGAGAAGCCTTATGAATGTGAAGAATGTAGGAAAGGTTTCTCCTCCAAGTCAGAGCTCACTTCACATCATAGAACTCATACAGGTGAGAAGCCCTATCAGTGTGAAGAATGTGGGAAAGCTTTTTACTGCAAGTCAACCCTCCGTGTACATCAAAAAATCCATACAGGTGAAAAGCCTTATGAGTGTAAAGAATGTCAGAAATCTTTTTATTATAAGTCAACCCTGACTGAACATCAGAGAACTCACACAGGCGAGAAGCCCTATGAATGTAAAGACTGTGGCAAAGCTTTCTTCTACAAGTCACAGTTAACTCGCCACCATAGAATTCATACAGGTGAGAAGCCTTATGAATGTGAAGAGTGCAGGAAAGCTTTTTCCTCCAAGTCAGAGCTCACTGCCCATCATAGAACTCATACAGGTGAGAAGCCCTATGAATGTAAAGAATGTGGCAAATGTTTCTGTCGCAAGTCACATTTAACTCTACATCATAGAATCCATACAGGTGAGAAGCCCTATGAATGTAAAGATTGTAGAAAAGCTTTTTTCTGCAAGTCAGGACTTGCCCGACATCTGGGAACTCATGCACATGACACTAATACAAAGAACAGAGAAAAGCATTTTCCTGCAACTCACATGTCAACCACCATCAGAAATGCCATACAATTAAGAAACCCTGTGAGTATAAAGAATGAAGAGAAACTCTCTACTGTGAATCAGTCCTCACTCCATACCATAGATTTCTTACAGTTGAGAAGTCCTATCGGTGTGCATAATGCGGGGAAACTTCCCTTTGTGACTCAGGCCTCATTCAGTCTGAGTGAACTCAGATGATACACACAGTAGTGTAGAGAAGGCAAGAAAGCTCGCAGTCAGCCAAGATGAGTTGACATCAGAGAATGTAGAATGATGACAGCAAAGAACAAGTGAAAACTGCCACAAGGGAGACCTTTCTCACCATCTGAAAATCCATATTGGTTGGTGTGTGCCACTGTGTCTGGAAAGAATGTAGGAAAGCTCTACTGTAGTTCTCTCTCTGTAAGCATCATACATGTGAAGAAGCTTAGGGATTTCAAGTTTAAAAGTTTTAAATGATAATTCAAAACTCAGTTGATAGGAGTATACATGCTATGAAGAATCCTGAGGATGTTAAAAATCCAACATTTTATAGTGTAGAATATTGTATATGTACTAACCTTGGAAAACAAACATGTAAGGGACCTTGCTAAAGAACATAGGAAAACTTTGATAGTCAAATCACATTCTGCATCAGAAAAGTTATATAGGTGAGTGACTGTGTACAGATAACAATTTTGTCCTGTATGATACTTGTTTATGTTCCATGGTCATTGAGACATTTCTATTCAAACTAGAAATATAGCCTGTCCAACCCTAGTGGGCCTGGAGTTGTATATAATAGCATGTATAGAAATGTAGTTCAGAAGTGGTGCTGAGGTATGCTGGATGTGACTGTGACATTGTACCTGATAGGCACTGTCTTTTGTGGGACCATTAAAGTCACTGATGCTCTGTGTTTTCTTATTTTCATCTGGTAAGAGAAAAAAATGGTGGATCTTCTCAAATTCATTTTAATTGGACAGTCACTGGCATAGGAGTCATGAAATTAAGAGTACTTATTTCCCAATCCTCAGAGAAATGACGGTTTTGCGTGGTAACAGTTATATCAGATTAGGAGCACACGAGAGACCAAGGTACATGGGATTTTGTACCATACTTTGCAGATACACAAAGTAATTTAGTTGGGCCAGATATATACAGTTTGAGGTCAAAGGACAGTTCTCTTTGTGACTGAAGGGAGAATAATCTTCAGTAACATTTTTCAACCCTGGCAGAAAAGAATCTAAATAATGGTGTCCTAGGTGACTGTCCTCGGAGCAAAGCAACTGCCATCTTGGGAAATTCAGCTGTGCCACCTTGCAAAAGCTAATCCCAGCTAGGCTTGTTGATGGCTTAGTGGCAATTCTATAGACTGCCTGGAGAAAAGATTTAGACAGTATGTGTATGTATTTGTATCTGTATATATGCATATGTGTATGCATGCCAGGGAAGGCACCATATCCTCCATCTATGCTGTTTGGAAGAAACACGGTTCTTGCTGGGTAAAGTTTTCCAGATGTGGCCCATTAGGGATGGAGAACCCACACTCTTGGAAGTAGCCCTCACCACCCAAGCTTTCTCTGTAAGGAAGCCAAATAAACTCATTGATTTATTTGGAACTTTGTTTGAATCATGCCTTTATTTGCCATTAGGACCTTAGACTCTTCGAAGAGGTAGACACTGATTATGTCTCCCCGTGGAAGGAATTTATAACAATATAGGGTCATCATTAGATGAACCCCCAGCCAAGATGAGGCAGCGACAACATAATGTGAGTTCCTGTAGTAAGTTGGGTCTTTGGGAATTCGGGGTGAGCCTTTTTTCTGCTACATTCTCTAAATCCAGTCTTTCTTACCTTTCCCCATGTTACTTACTGATAGAGAGAGTAGGTAGTGCAAAAAACTGTGCTTAGGAAATTTCGTGCTCTGTGGTGAGCTGCATGGAATCACACCTGATGGAGATGTGTAATCAATTCCTATGGCTAAAGTCTGACCTATGCTATGATCACGCAATGATTATCAGCTGCCTGCATATGCGTGAACCTATGGGCAGTGCCCACCTGGCAGTTCGGGGTTGGCAGCCCATGCCTACTTAAGGGCTGGGAGAGGGGATGAGAGAGAGGTCAAAGGAAAGAGGGTTGCCCAGAGAGAGAGGAAAAGGAGAGAAGAAGGGAGAGAGAGAGGAGAGAGAAAGAGGCAGAGAGGAGAGAGGGGAAGAGAGAGAAGTGTAAAAAGTCCTAGAATAAACTGCAGTGAGAAGAGCTCCGGTGGTCGCGTCATCCTTGCGGGACGAGGGTGGTCGTGACAGTGCTCAGGTTGAATTAGGGTACGAGGTACTAATTTGTAAAGTTAACATGAGTATTACTATTTACCTTAATAGCCTCCAAGAATTTTAGTAATCCACGCTGACTCACTGGAGTGAGAAAATAAGACAAATAAGGAGACAAATAAGAGCTCCAGTAACTCCCAAGTGGTGTACCGAGATGAGTTTTCAGTTCAGCAGTCATCTGGCCTTGAGTGGGCACCAAGCGTGTGTACTCATCACTACTGTGGTGGCCAGTGTCTTCTCTTTACATGCCACTTTCTCATTGACCTGGCAGTTCTGGCTCATTGAATGGTTATGTGGATATGGTGATCCTGGAACCAGAGCTTTTGGACAAGGAGTACGGCTGAGGCCTAGGAAGAAGTCTCAAAACCTCAACACATAGAAAAACTCCCTTCAGAGGAGTCAGACCCTAGATTATGCTCTGGTGCATATTGTCTGCTTTATCAGATGTCATCTTGACAAGATTCAAACCAGCCAGATACTAAGGTGCCTGAATACACAGGAGTGTGAGGTTTTTACTGACTTGGAGTTAGTTTCTAGTGATAGTAGATTAGAGATAGAACGTGTCCCTGCTAAATCAAGGAAAAACTAGTGGTCAGTATACCTTTTCTTTCTTTTTTTTAATATTTATTTATTATGTATACAATATTCTGTCTGTGTATATGCCTGAAGAACAGAAGAGGGCACCAGACTCCATTACAGATGGCTGCTGGGAATTGAACTCAGGACCTTTGGAAGAACAGGCAATGCTCTTAACCTCTGAGCCATCTCTCCAGCTCCCAGTACACATTTTCTATGTGAGCCCACATTTCCCCAGCCTTTGATCAGAGGTTTAGATTTATGATAGTTCCCATATTTTCTTTTAGAGCCAAAGCCTGGTGTATACCCACACATTTTTCACACACAGCTGCATCCACAAGGTCAGGGAAATAGTGTAAATGATAGCAGGTGTGGTAGCAGTGATGTGGGGGATGAGGGCGGAATTTGGATAGACCTTGGCTGCCTGCCTCCCTCCCATCTTACATTGGTTTAAGCTACCCTTGGCGTTGGGTTCAGGACCACCATCTCTTAGCCACCATAGCTTAAGCTCTTAGACTCCAAATTTATTGACTAAATATACAACTGCCAAATGTTTTGAGAATCACAGGGAATGGAATATAATAAGTGAGTCTATATGTATGACATACTCATTGAAAAAGTGATGGAAGGTGCTAAGTCATACAAGCAAACTTTTGACTGTTTTCTCCAAATATCAGACTGCACAAACTGCTCCAGTTGCCAGATACTTTAATCACAGGGATATGAGTTTGCACTTGTGAAGGTACTCTCAAAAAGAAATACTTTGTAGATAAGTGGGATTGGTTCCTGCAGTCTAATTGAACAATTTGTAAATAAAAATGAAAATGCTCTAGTAAGCATCGTCTGCCTGTGTATAATTGGGATCATTATGTGAACGTATAGTTACTGTACATTTTAATTTCTTTGTAACAGTTTTTCTTTGCACTGTGGGGTTTTAACTCTTTGAACCAGTATTGCTATACATGAACACTAATTTCTGTATTTTGTCATTGGTAGGAGAATGTCAAATACATTCATTTGCTAATTTTCCTAAATGAACAATTTAAATACAGTATTATTTTCCCTCTTCCTTTTCCTTCAGCATTTCCTTTGTAGTCCCTTGCTCTTTTAAATTCATGGTATCTTTTTAACTTTTGTTACTGATGTGTGTGAATATATATTTTATATAATATATATATTCCTAAATATATAAATGCAGCCCTTTCAGTCTACATGTTACTTGTATGTGTATGATTTCATGGTATTGGGTAACCAATTTCTATGTTTTTTTTTCAGGAAAGACTGTTTCCTGTTGTCAACATTTTTTAGTTGTCTGTAGTTCTTTGTCTAGAGTTGGTGTGTTGTGAGATTAACCTCCACCCCCCACCCCGCTAATGTGTGTTAATGCTATCCTTTTAAAAAACTTTCAGAATTGTATGTGTATGAGTGTTTTGCTTGAGTTTATGTGCATATACCACATACATGCCTATTACCTGCAGATACCAGAAGAAGATGTTGGAGCCAAGGGAACTGGAGTTACAGATGGTTGTGAGTAACCATGTGAATGCTGAGAACTGGATCTAGGCCCTCTGAAAGAGCAGCAAGACTCTAACTGCTGAGCTATCTCCAGCCAGCCAATGTCAGTTGTATTTTAATTTGTGTATCTGCATTGCTTTTGTTTCTCATGTTGAGGATATGATCATTGAACATTTAGATATGTTCTATAAAATGTGGCTGTTCAAGTCCCTTGCCTATTTTTTTTCTTCTGGAACACTGTTTTATCCTTTTTTTTGGTGATGACTTTAGATGCATTCTGCTTTTATGAATTTAGTGAGGTGTACTTGGAATAATACTTTGAATATATGTTTAGTCTGTTTTTGATATGTAGCATTCATAAAATCAGTGCTAGTCAAGATAATTAAGATATCCATCTCAGGGATGAAACCGGACTCCCTGATCATGGCGAACAATGAAGACTGATGAGAAGCCAAGGTCAATGGCAAGGGGTTTTGATCCTACTTCATGATCCGGCTTGGTGGGAGCCTAGCCAGTTTGGATGTTCACCTTTCTAGACATGTACGGAGAGGGGAGGACCTTGGACTTTCCACAGGGCAGGGAACCCTGACTGCTCTTTGGATTGGAGAGGGAGGGGGAGAGGAGTGGGGGGAGGGGGAGGGAAATGGGAGGCTGGGAGGAGGCGGAAACTTTTTTTTCCTATTCTCAATAAAAAAGATATCCATCTCACTAAATTGTTTTCTAGTAGTTTTATAATCCTTCGTGCACCTTTCCCACTATTCAATTTTTGTAAGACAGAAAGCAATTTTGACAAATGATACAATTATATAGATAAATGAAATGGCACAAAGGAACATATGATGTAATTAACTATCTATTTCAAGAAATTGAAAGTTCATTGTAATTCAGAAAACACTTTAATAGGCTTGAAAACTAAATTGAATGCTGGGAGAAAGAAGGCAGAGTTAATGGGATGCCATGTAGCTACCGTAGGAGACAGACACCCCAGAACCTTGCCAGTAAATACAAGCCTCATAGTAAAATATAAAATAATGGAAATGGGTTATTTAAGATATAAGAATTAACCAGAAATACACTTAAGCTATTGACCAAATAGTATTGCAATTAATACAGTTTCTGTGTGGCTATTTCTGGTCTGGGCGACCTGGGAACAAACAAGCATGTTTTGCCAACACCCCGTATTTATTTGAATCCCTTTCTGTGAAGTTGTGGATTCTTAAAAATTGTCATCTCTTTAATTACTTGTTATCCTTATGATGTGGCCCCTAGAGATTGTTGGTGAGAACTAGTGATAACCTAATGGCTGATATAGTAAGATAACCAGAATAAACTGGTAATAAAACAATGATTAAAATTAACATTCATACACAGATCTAAAGAGCTTTGTATTTTAAAGGATGAGTTTATGCCTAAGTTACTTTAATTGATAATTTGGGTACACAGATTGTGTGTGACAAAGATCCATTTCTTTATTAAATTACTTTTTTAAATCTCGTGTTGATCTATGAACCTGTGAACAAAATTCTGACATACTTAGAACAACTGAAATGTCTGTCCCTGAGAGAAACTAGCACCCAGTACAGCTGTGCACTTGAGTGAATAGCTCATACATCACTAAATATTCAATTTCTTGAGGACAGTTTGATAAGGGGGCTTTTTACACACCCTTAGCTCTTCTGGAGTTCACAGTGTAGAACAGGAAGCCCTCACCTGTGTGGCAATCCTTTTTCTGCCCCTCAAGTGTTGGGATTATATGCATGTACCATCATATCCAACTGCATTTAGTCTTTAGATTGTGATTATTACAGGGACTCCCGGATGCAGTTGTGAAGGTCTATATGATACTACTGTCTATACAAACTGCATATCAGTAACAATACATGCAAAAGTTGATTATTACAGTTTTGACGTGTTTATTCTCTTACAGATTCTTATGTTTGAAACCTGTTTATGTATGTGACAGTGTTGAGGTGCTGGGTTATAGTATGAGACTTTGAGCGTACAGTGCACCACTTGTCCTCAGTAGCATTTCTGAAACAAGCTTTCACAAACTCCTCATGCATATCTTATTGCTGCCAAGTGCTGTTACCATCTTAAAGGGTAGCCTAAATCCTGGGGCCATAATCACAGTGACCTCTGCATAATGCATGAAAATGCAAGTTTAGTTGATCTTTTTCTAGGAGGGAAGCCTTTGTTTAGCATTCTCAATTCAGGTATGTTTCAAATGAACTATAAACTTGCATTTTCATGTTTTTGAGTGGTGCTCTATTCTCAGGTGATCCTAGTTGCTTCCCCAGTGCACATTATGCATTTTTGCCTAATGGTGTTAATCTCTATAAAGGTTACAGGAACTCTGGCATGACTTGTCTGCAGTTTTAAATTTGACAGGATAAGTAGCTCCTTATCTAGTTCTCAGAAAATTTTGAAAAATGTGTTTTGAAAGTTTTTATCTCATTCCCCAAATCCCTCCCCCAATCACCTGCCCTTCACTGCCAACCCATTTTGTGCCCCTCCTTTTAAATCCAACAAGAGCAGTTTGTGCTTCCCATATATATTATGTGTGAACTTCTGCTGGAGTGTGGTTGAGTTATGAAGTGTTAACACTCTGAAAGAAAACTGACTCCATTTCCCAGCAGCCATCAATTGCCAGAAGCTCTTCAGGTTTTGAGTGGGAATTCATGTCTACTTTCTTTCTCCATGGTGGGATTTGGTCTAGCTAAGGTTTGTGCTAGGATTCTGCATGCTGTCTCATTCATGTTATGAATTCCTATGTGCAGCTACCTTGTGTCCAACTGTATCTTTTGACTTTCAGCTAGATACTCTTCTGGCACAAGGCAAGACACCAATATTTTGCTGAGTATCTTTAAGTCTATCTGCATCTCATCACCAGAGAAGGTGATTGTGGCTATCAGTTTATGCAAAAATTCTTGTCTCTCCATCAGGTTTCTGATGTTAAATACCTTTTAGCTCCCTTCAGCAGTTGGGACCTAGTTATATCTTTAATTTGTTTTTAACTTTTATAACCATTTTTTTTTCTAAATTCTGGGGTCAACTGGGTGACAAAGGAAATCTTTTGAGCAACCGTCTTTAATCCTAAAAATTACTTAAAGTCTCAGTGGTCAGTGTATGGCAGAAGGGATATCAATTCTATACAGGCAGCATTGTCCAGCAGCAATTCCCTTGATGGACATGGGAAGTTTTTTCTAATTTTTAAGAGAATGGTAACTTTGATTATACAGATTGCCCTTTAAAGGCGGCCATAAATCATGGAACAGAAAGGAGTGAAGCTTCCTTTCCCCTTTCTTGGGACTGTTTAGAATGGACAGGGCAGTAAAGGGAATGTGTGGCCCAGGAAACTTCCTCAGTCCCTTTGTACATTCCACATAGAACACAGGGTACAGGGACCCTGGATGACAGGCTCAGCCCCTCCACGCAGGGACAAGTATGTCATTGGAGACAACTGATGAAACAAACAGCACCACATGAGTGGGACAAGTGTTTGTTTGTTTTGTTTGTTTCTCTGGGTGACCTTGCAGAGACAAAAGAATTCAGGCCCCCAATGACATACATATAGATCCTAAGCTAGGGTTGTGTTGGGGGAGGTTTTGTATTAGAGAAAGGCACTGGGAAATAGAACTGACATACATAGAAAGACAGAGACTAAAGACAACCAGAGGTGGCTAAAATACATTCCTGAACCTGAGCAAACAGGGATTTGTTGGAAGAAGAGACCATTTGTTTTCCAGCTGCCCTGCTAGCTCAGTTGGTAGATCATGATACTCTAAATCTCGGGGTTGTGGGTTTGAGCCCCACATTGGGTGCCAATTTGTAGTAAGGAGGCCGGATGTTTGTCCTGGCAGCCCAGAACTGAAATAACCACACAGAAACCATATTATTGATATCACTGCTTGGTCCATTAGCTCTAGCTTCTTATTGGCTAACTCTTACAGATTAATTTAACCCATTTCTCTTAATCTAATCTGTGTATCACCATGTGGCTGGGGCTTACCTGCTAAGGTTCCAGCATCTGTCTCCGATGGTGGTTCCATGGCTTCTCTTTTATTACCTTCCTTCTCCTCTCAGCATTCAGTTTAGTTTTCTCCCACCTAGTTCTGTTCTACCCTATCATGCTAAGCCAGTTTTCTTTATTCATTAATGGTAATCACAGCATACAGAGGGGAATCCCACATCAGGGATTCAACAGCAGTGTGTGACCTATGTGTTGAAACAGCAGGCACTCTAACCAGATTTCCCTAAGAGGTGATAAACCAGGCAACTTTGTAATTGGCCTCTTTTTGGGATGGAGGTATCAGACTCCTCCAAAGCATTAGGAAGCAATTGATCAAAGGGATTCTAGTGGACCTGGGACATCTCAAGTTGTGTATTCTCCAGAAGTTCCTTGACCACCATGCTCTTTCCCACCCTGAGGGTCTCTGAAACCAGGAATCTTGAAGTCTGATACTTGGAGATCTTGGTTGAACCTCCAGAAATGTTGTGGGCTCTACCAGAGAAGACTTCTTGGACACAAGTTTAGGACAATAGACAGCATTAGCTGGGCAGTGAATATACTGAATATTCGTGATCACAGTGAAACCCTGAACCTTTCTCCAGGTGAGCTTTTTTTATTATTAAAATTTTATGCCTCCTCCCCGCCTCCCATTTCCCTCTCCCTCCCCCCATCCTTCTCCCCTTCCCTCTCCAGTCCTAAGAGCAGTCAGGGTTCCCTGTCCTGTGGGAAGTCCAAGGTCCTCCTCCCTCCATCCAGGTCTAGGAAGGTGAGCATCCAAACAGGCTAGGCTCCCACAAAGCCAGTACCTAAGGTAGGATCAAAACCCAGTGCCATTGTCCTTGGCTTTTCATCAGCACTTATTGTCCGCCATGTTCAAAGAGTCCAGTTTTATCCCATGCCTTGGTGAGCTCCCAATAGATCAGCCCCACTGTCTTGGTGGGTGCACCCCTCGCGGTCCTGACTTCCTTGCTCAAGTTTTCCCTCCTTCTGCTCCTCATCTGGACCTTGGGAGCTCAATCCGGTGCTCCAATGTGGGTCTCTGTCCCTATCTCCATCCATCGCCAGATGAAGGTTCTATGGTGATATGCAAGATATTCATCAGTATGGCTATAGAATAGGGCCATTTCAGGTTCCCTCTCCTCAGCTGCCCAAGGAACTAGCTAGGGACATCTCCCTGGACACCTGGGAACCCATCTAGAG